CAGACTCAGCGAAACTTCCGAACTAAGTATGGAAAGGATCCACAGTCACGACCATCAATTTGTGCATGGCACAAGAAATTTATGGAGACAGGGACAGTGTTGGATAAAGGAAAGAGTGGACGACCAAGAACATCCGAGTAAAACATCGATCGTATAAGAAATCGAGTACCGTCTTGATGCGCTTCGTGCAACTAATGGTGCCCATATAGAGGTGTATTAAATAAAGCAAAAAGAAACTTAAATACATACGTCTCATTTTGTAATAATTTCCACTTATCTCTTCATTTGCCGTCGTAATAAACTTTCGAGATTGTAACGAGACTTTATGGATATCCTGTACAGTTGTGTGAAGCTCGTAGTCGGAGAGTTAGGACTCGAGAACCGGTCGTCGAGAGGCGCGGTAGCACGGCGACATTCGATCGAGAAGAGGATCGCTCGCAACGGAAACGGAAAACGGAAAACGGCAACGGAAATGGGAATGGGAACGGGAATGGAAACGGAAACAAAATGATCGTTGCAGCGATGCTCCGTCTGGCGTCCGTTCTCGTTGATTCTCTCTGCCCCGTTGTCTAATCAATGATGTGCCAACGTGTTGTGACAACGCGGCATTCTTCTCGAGGGAGGGGAGGGACAAAATCGAACCAATCATTTGCTACCCGTTTGCTGCTCGTTTCTGATAAAATGTCACCCGTCTAACGAGTCCCAACCACCGATCCGATAACTGCCAACGCATTCAGCTACGCAAACGACACGCCAAACGCGCGACTCTGTCTAGTGATGCGTGTGACGTCGGTCGTGTGATAAAAATTACGCAGGCGGAATGTGGAACGAGGAATGTGCGGAGTGTGGACAATATTTAGAAAATTCGCACGTCGACGAAATCAAGCCTGCCGAGGCAGGGCGGGGAATAAATCGTTTAAAAGATATCAGAATTTTATAACAGTATTGCTCGTTTGATCTTAATTGCGTCGGGGAATGCACAGCGAAGAGTACAGACGAAAGAAAATGTAACGAAAATGCGAATGTAAATTATTTCCTGTGACAGTTAGCAGTAAGATGTGACAAAAGTATTTACATCAGTTATTATTGAGATTAATCAATTTGATTCGATGCGATTGATCGAACAGTGATCCGAATGAGCGATCGTTTTCCGTTTGCGAATGTGAGGGACATTCGTTCCTTCGATGTAAGACTAATCGTGTCGTCTTGATGTTGAACGATTGTAATAAAACCATTGTGTATAAAAATATAGTTTTTGAAATAAACCACATTTCTGTACGATCAGAATTCTCAATATATAGTAAACGAACAACGATAAAATTCCATATACGAAATAAAGAAAAGTGAAAGAATGAAAAGCATCATCTTGAATTGTACCTATAAAATATACCTTGAATTGTATTTATAGAAATATAATTTTCGAAATAAACTACACTTCAATACAATTCTCAATATATTCTTCTTCAAAGAATTCTCAATATATAGCAAACAAATAGGAAACGAACGAAAAATGAATGAATCAAAAGCGTCATCATGAATCTCGTCTTAATTTTAATGATTAAGGAGAAAAATTAAATTAAATACCGAACTATAGCTGAAAAAAATGTAATTTCGTTTTAATTTAATCAACGACTGACAAGACAGAAATAGAAGAGCAGTTAAACAAATTAAACGTCGGTCAAATTAATCGTCGATCATCCAGAAAGTTTCGTTGAATATTTTACTCTATTGCACATCTTACTGTTCGATCTCAAGCGAGAAATAATTTGAAATAAAGTAGAAACCTGCGTGGTTACGTGACTCTGGTTATGCCTTTCACTGTGCGTGTCGTGCATATTCTCCTGCATAGTCCAGTTACGCGACAAACAATAGAGAAAAAAGAAAGAAATCGACACGTTATCGACGGTTCTGCTGCGCCGCGTTTGTTCTCGATAACAGCCGGTGTATCATTACGCCGTGGAAACGAGCATTAATCGGCGGGGCACATCGGACACGAAACACGAGGCTCGCCAGGCTCGGTAAGAACCTGTTAGATATAACCGCGAGCAGTGAGCAACTCTTTTCCTTTTTTTTTTTTTACGTCCTCTTAGCACGAATGTCCCGTTTCGAGCTTCGCGTCTATCAACAACGCAAACTTTCCAACCGTTCGACTCCGCAATTTCGAGCCAACGTATCGCGCAATAACGCGGAAGAGAAAAAGGAAAAAAAAGAAATGATTTCACTCGTCGAAGGTCTAGGTCGAATTCTTCGACGTCCAGGCTTTCATTCTCGTTCGAGTCACTCGGTATATCTCGAAGTCAAGTCCGATATCCGAGATCCGAGTTTGCTCGTTGCGGAGACAATCGAAAGTGAAATTTGATCAAGAGGATTTTCTCAACGCTAGAGCTGTCGCCGTCTTCAATATTTCACGTGTAACGTGTCTCTTTGAACACGTAGCAAAGTATAGGGTGGTCACTGAAGAACTGAACGATATAAGACAAAAATAAAATAAATTTTGCAGACTGTTAATAGAGTGACTGTTAATCTTTATGTCAGACGTATATACAAGTATATGTGTGTGTGTGCTTGATCTTAACAAATATCTAGTGACTAAATTAGGCATTCATGATTGTGACAGCCTTCACTCTGATCAAAGTTATGCAACAGCAAACACGTGTGCCGCTATTATATAAAATGAAACACCTCTAAAAGTAGAGGTGCTATATATATATAAATTATTTAATAATATATATATACGTGTGTCGCTATTATATAAAATAAGACACCTCTAAAAGTAGAGGTGCTATATATATATAAATTATTTAGTAATATATATATGTAAAAAATAAAAAATAAAAAAATAATAAAAAATAAAAAAGTGTCTGTGATTATTTTAGGCGGAGTAAATACAGCAGAGGTATATATATATATACTTACTATTACTCCGCCTAAGTCATCACAGACACATACCTTTTTAATGTTTTATTATTTTATTTGGGGATATAGTTAATGGATTTTTTTCCCCGGTATTATGCGTGAAAAACATCCCTCAAATGACGCTCATCGTTTTGAAAATGAACAACTTATGACCTTTTCAAACCCTTCAGTTTTTCAGTGGTCATCCTGTACATAGGTTCCATGGAAAAATCGAAATTAGACAAGCAGACACGTGATCCTTATTTTTGACAAATATCATCAGCAACAAGAGTTTTCGAAACTCTCGTAATTGGACAAATAAAGGAGCCAAATCTCTTTGACCTAGGTTAAAAGTTCTAGCGTTGAAAATACAGAGCCAAGAACGAGAGGAAGCTTTCAAACAGCCCGAGGTCTTTTTTCTCATTGTTGACAAGAATTGTGTACACATATATATATACATAGACGATGGAAAATGTAGTTCCAATGAAAAAAAAAAAAAAAGAAAAAAAAGAAGAAAGGAAAAAGAGAAATCGATCGACCTATAAACCCTCGGTACAGAAATTCGACTGGCAACCCATTCAGTATTCGATTCCTCTCTCTTTCTCTGCACACGATCAAAACGTGCACACCCGTGGAGTACTTACACTTCGCGAATATAATATCGGAGCATAAAGTGAAAAATCGAAACGAACGGACGGATGCAAGAAACGAATATGTAGATTTCTGTACGTGTGGTGTCTCGACGACCGACGCGAGCGATGGGAACACAGAGTTGAAGAAAAAAATCCGCGGCGTCGGAGCTGAATGGCGTCGGTTCGGAGTGAGAAAAAAAAAAAGAAGTCTGTGGTGGTCTTAATTATTTCTCTAGACGAGGTTACGAGAGAAGTAAAAGCAGAAGGACGGACCGCGAAGGTGGGTGCGAAGGTGTTGGTGCGACGTGTAGTGGTTATTGTTCTGGTTCTTGTACTGGTTCTTGGGGTCGTTAGAGGAGGTCGACGACCGGTTCGACAGGCCGGTGGCGTCACCAGGCCATCGCATTCCGCAGCAGAAATCCGCATCTGTAACACCCAACAACCCCTTGCCCACGTCTCATCCTTTTTTTTTTTTTTTTCTTTTCTATCGATCAATGTAACTGTTCGATCCTGCGCTCGCCCTCGTCTTTGTTTTCCTTCGCGCGACGCGTTTCGCATTTCATTCAGCTTTCCTTTTGTCTTCTCTGTCGAGCGACAGTCTCACTTTGTCACGCGGATGGAACGATAAAAGGCACAAACAACGAATCACCGTGGCTGAGGAGAGGATAGAGAAAACACGAGGCGACAAAGAAAGTTTTGATTTACGCGCGGCACGATGTTCACACGCTCGTGTATATTTCTGGTACGAAAATGAGGTAGTAAATTGAAGAATATCTCCGTAACGGCAATTGTCATTTGTTGAATTAGTAACCTCGAGTCGCGATGCATTCCACGAGCTTCGATCTGGTTGATTTATTTCGCCTTTTCTTTATGAAGAATCAAAGAAGAAATTATGACAATTATATATATATAATTGTCATAATTTCTATATTTCAATATATATATTGCGCTGTCGATTGCGATTTAATAACTATACATTGCACACGTGTAAAAGCACGCGCGGTTGGATGCTTTTAACCTCTTTTTAATCCTCCGCTAGTAACTGGTTCGCGGACCATAACGAGTGACCGTACCGTACACAATAAATCGTCATCTTTTTGAATTCATCGGTGTATCGCTGGATAGAAATAACTAAGAGGTAATAAATTCATTCTTTGCTGTTTGCCTGGGTTAGATTTCAATATACTTGAAACAAAATAAATGATAAATAAATGAAATATTGCAATTTCAGGGCAAATATTCTCGGCGTGCGTGGCATTCCAGCGCGTTAAGAGGTTAATACCGATTTTAAAAATGTTCAAAATTTGGTAAATTTCTCTAACGTTTACCAATATTTATTCGCATACGACACATCTCACACGAAATTCCCGAAATTTACGATTCTTTTACTCGCCAACGATCCAGAGATCTGGGTTAAAAAAATAAAACGGTTATCTCGCATCTCTATCCTCTCCTTTGTCTCTCTTTCTCTTTCTCTCTCTCTAAAAAAAGCCATTTTTGAAAAAAGAATTGAACCTTCCGTTACGATTCCGACAAACTGGCATTTTGTTGTTTCTTTTTTTTTTACGAGCGATTTGTTATCCGATCGAACAGCAAAAAAAGAATAGCAACGGGAATGTGAAGGTTGTATTCATTTCGTGAGAGTCTCAGTGTGTGAATATTTCTGTGACACCCAACAACTCTTGCCCACGTCTCATCTTGTTCCTCGTACGCGAACTTCCACTTTCATCGGACAGAATTAACACTTGTCTCGTGAAATCGAGTATTTCTTTTTTTTTTTTGGGAGGGGGGAAAGGAGAGAGTTACGTAACAGTCGAACAGGAAAAAGGCAGCATTACATTTTGTGCTGTCGACGACACGAATATTTTCAATTTCACGTTGATCCTGCGCGCACAAACGCGGATCGATGTTCGTTCAATGATAAAATGATAAAAAGGATCATCGTGCCGATGGATGTTCAATTACACGATCAATTGGCTCGCGACCTGTTTAGTCCTCCTTTGCCAAATTCCTCGCGAAAGCGTTAAACGCACATTCTTCCTGACCTTTTGTTCCTTCCTCGATGTTGGTTCGGCAAAAGAGAAAGAAAAGGGGAGGGAAAGGAATTGAAAGAAACGAAAAACAAAGTGAAAAAAATTGCACAGGAAAATGAAAATCGTACAGCACGAAGGACATAACTGTACCGAAAATTAATAACCACCTGCAACAATACGAATCATTCCTTAATTACACCAAGAGTAAAGTTCAGCCTGACTGTGCCAAATTTTGAAATGATTTTCAGTAATTCTGGACGAGATGCCAACAAATTATTGATGCGAAAGATTAATTCGACGAGCGTTTAATTCTCTAGCCGAGAGAAAAGGCATTCGAACGAGATGGAAAAAATTGTTCGAGTTTGCTCGAGATTATGTAAAATACTATGTTCCTTTTATACCTGTGAAAGTTAATGGCAATAAAAAAAAAAAAAAATGGCATGCACGAAGTCTGTCGTTGCGTACGTAGATACAGTTATGCTCTCGGCTGTAACGTTGGAGAAAAGCTCAGGAAGCTGCACCATTGCGCTGCACACGAACTCGTCTCTGATGAACTTTAAATAATGAAGTTCCCATGCAGTTCGAGTTCGTGTCTTGTTCGTTTTGTCAGCGACGCGACACTTCACCCTCTGGTACTCCGTCCACCGGATTTCATATTCACCCCCTCGACGAACGACGCGTCACTTTGCTCTTCAATTTTCCTCCCTTCAGTTCGTTAGCGCCTTCAGTTCAGCGGGAAAATTCAGGGAAATTTTTCAGAATTTCGCGCGAATGTAGTTCACGTTTATCCTGATAAAGGAACAACTTTTTCCTCTCCCTCCACCCTGCTAAAGAACAGTTCTGGGGGGTGAGAATATTCTCCGCAAAGAAATTTTGATTATTCATAGTATTTTCTTACTAGTTGTCACCTTCCCACAATTTAACTTAACGATCAATAGCAGAAAATAGTTACTAAAAGGACACATTGGCAATATGTCTTTCAGTTCAGTGAATCTCCGAGCTTAATCTATTATTATATCAGTTCACTTCACTTCGGTATATTGCATCATCTTGCTAACGTGCACGTGTTACAGGAAAATCCTATTTTAAGACAGAGAATGAAAATTGAAACGAAGAGACGTACTATTTTAATCTTACATTTTCATTTTTCAACTAGTTTTCGAACATTCTTTACCATTTACGATCAATATAAATTTTAATACCTGACCTTAAACAATATAAATTTGAGAAAACAATATAAAGTTTTATAAATACAATCTATATCTACCCTTGAATGATATATTATACAATATTTTATAAACAATATTTTAACCTATAACTTTAAATAATATAAATTTTTATAAAAACAATTTATATCTACTCTTGAACAATATTTTATAAAACAACATAAATTTTTGTCCACCCTTAAACAATATAAATTTTTATAAAAACAATCTATATCTATCTTGAATAATATTTTATAAAACAATATAAATTTTTATCCACCCTTAAACAATATAAATTTTTATAAAAACAATCTATATCTACCCTTGAATAATATTTTATAAAACAACATAAATTTTTGTCCACCCTTAAACAATATAAATTTTTATAAAAACAATTTATATCTACCCTTGAATAATATTTTATAAAATAATATAAATTTTTATCCACCCTTAAACAATATAAATTTTTATAAAAACAATCTACTGATATATCTATCCTTGAAAAATATAAACTTCCTTGAACAATATAAACTTCATAGAAAAATATAAATTTTTATAAAAACAATACACATCTACCTCAAACAATATAAACTTTTATACAAGCAACATAAATTTCAATCTACCCTCTTTTTTGTATCTTATACAATTCCATAAGTATTCACGATGATCTGAAAACGTTCGAAGAAGAATTCTCACTCCCCGAATCGTTCTTTTTCTTCCCAGGAAAGAATCGTCTCGTTATCACCATCGTGCGAACTCATTTGCGCAAAATATTTTAAAACAATTTTCCAGTCGCCTCGCGCTCGAGATCATTTCTCGTCGTCGCTCGTGATTTTCATCCTGGCCACCCGCGTTCACCCGTTTATTCCGCCACGTAGAACGCGAAGTAGATGTGTGCTTAGCACGAAACAAGCAATCAACGTGTCTCTTTCGTCGCCGCAATTGAAAATGTCCCGGAGAGAAGTGTCGAGCGAGGCGATACGCGAGAGTTGTTTTCTCCAGTCTCGTCTCCACCCTTCCCATTCTCTTTTCATCTTGCGCTCCCGCACTTTCGAAAGCTCGCGCTTTCTTTACATTCGCTGGCTGAACAAATGATGCCGGTGCTCGAGGGCGTCGTCGCAGCTTTCCCGCTCCCACCGATACAAAAGAGAAACCCGTCCCTTTGTGTCCCGAGACTTTTCTTTCACAGAGGGTAAAACGCTGTCTTCCTGATAGGCACTTTACCGGACCGACCGGTGGGAAAACCGTTTCACACCCACGATCAATTACCGACCTCTCCCACCCCTATTTTTACCTTCGAGCCGAAAATTGAAAAATTCGAAAAAGAAAATCGCCGTGACGCGATATGAGATATTGGGATGGGTGCAAAAGTTTTTGCTGCTTCTCGTCCTCCTCTCTTCCCTTTTTCTCCTCTTCTTTTTTACCTCTTGCGCTGGGATGACGATTCATATTTATTATTATTTATTATTTTATTATTTTATTATATTATATTATATTATATTATTATATTTTATTATTTATTATTTTATTATATTATATTATATTATTATATTTTATTATATTATATTATATTATTATATTTTATTATTTATTATTTTATTTTATTATATTATATTATTACATTTTTTATTATTTATTATTTTATTATATTATATTATATTATTATATTTCATTATTTATTATTTTATTATATTATATTACATTATTATATTCCATTATTTATTATTTTATTATATTATATTACATTATTATATTCCATTATTTATTATTTTATTATATTATATTATATTATTATATTTATATTCAGTTTTAAGTATATTGAAACATAATTCAAAACAAATGATAGATTTATTACTTCTTAGTCATTTCTATCCAATGATATGCCGACGAATTCGAAAAGGAGACACATTATTGTCCATTAATTATGGTCCGCGAACCAGTTACCAGCGCAAGAGGTTGAGTAAATTAAAATACGAATCTAAATGGGAGCACGTAATAATGGCACGTGGAGAACTTGCAAAACAGCATACGTGATAAACAGTGCGCACAAGCTTGCGCGGCACAGTTGACAAATATTTTTGCAAGCGTGTAGCTTGCAAAAATATTTGTCGATCGTTCGGCAATAAAGGTAGAAATCGGAGGGGAGAGACGTATTCAACCTCTCGCGCTGGAATCGACAATTTTTTTTTTTTGTCCCAAAATTGCAACATTCTCTCAGTTTTCAAGTGTATTTAAATGTAACCCAGGCAAAACAAACGACAAGTTTATTATTTCTTAATAATTTCTAACACCGACGAGTTTAAAAAGAAAGCGACGAATTATTGTACACGGTCCGGTCACTCGTTATGGTCCGCGCGAACCAGCGCAAGGTGTTAAATTAATACAAATGGCCGGACTCGTTCACAAATGAGAAGCAAGTCGAACGCAATTCGTTGACCGTTTCATAAACCTCAAGAACCAATTGTTGTTTAAATAATCGGAAATATTATTGATTATTATTATTATTATTATTATTATTATTATTATCATCATCACAGAGATTGATCGAAGATGACCGGAAGGAAATAAATAGAAAAAAAATGGATAAACAACATTTAAAAAAAAAAAGAAAGAAAAAACAGTCGTTATATCTCCGTCATAATTGTTTCGACGAGAGCCAGCAGAAACTTTCGCAACTATCCGCAAGGTGAGTCGCGTTACACCTTGTCAGCTTTGAACACGCGCCTTGCACCTTTCAGCGTGCCCCGTATCTTGATCGACCGACGAAATTTGGCACGATCGAACTGTGAATTCTCGCAATTCGTTGCATCCGTACCGCAAGTGCCAAATAAACGTTCTCGACGAAACGGTTAATTAATATCCGGCCAGCGGTTAGTCCAGATCAATGTTAGCCAGAGATCAAAGCGTCGGCTGACAATTCGTCGGCTACAAAAGCGAAGTCGATAAAGTCGAGCAGTTGGATACGGAAGAGCGTGAAGTGCCCACTGTTTCGGAAACAACGTTTACAATATCGACTACTTAACGTCGATTGCTTAACCATTTCCTTCGAGCGGTTTCACTCGAGCATCGTGCCAAGTTGTTTTGTTCGATTCGTTTGCGTTATGTTTGACGCAAAACCCCCTGTCGGGGTTGAAGTTGCCATGCAGCGCATTCGTACTCCAGATTCAAGTTTCCTTTCCTAATTACTTTGTTCTCGATCAAAATCTAAACCACGCGAATCTAAAAAAAAACTGCGTAAACGGGCAGTTTCCACTTTGTCAGCTTGGGAAGCGCTATCGCGTCGCGATTCTTCAACCGTTTCAGTGCCATTCAGCGTTTATATTTGTATTTATATTTATTCATAATATTTATTACGTTATAATTATATATTATATTATATTGTTATATATATTATATATTATATTATAATATTTATCCATAAAAAATATTATATTATATTAAAAAATATTATTAATTAAATATTATATTTAATTAAATTAATATAATATATTTTATTAAATATTATTAATGTAATATGAATATATATTACATTAAAAAATATTATATTATAATATCTATTCATAAAAAATTATAAAAAGAATTAATATTTTAATATATAAAAATATTAATATTATAATATATATTTGTTAGATTTAATTTATCTATTTAAATATCATAAGAAAAGTATAAACATGTGTGTGTGTGTGTGTGTGTGTGTGTGTGTATAAACATATTTATGTATTTATAAAATATATATAAATATATATATATATAGATATTTATAAAATATGTATAAATATATATATATATATATTTATAAAATATGTATAAATATATATATATATATATTTATAAAATATGTATAAATATATAATTATTTATAAAATGTATATTTTTCGTATTTCACTATCCAACATGGTTCTTTTTTTAAATAGCCCGTGGCACTAAAACGTTTCAAGGTTGAGTTACTTAATTTACTTGTACATAGTGTAAATATCTACCAAAACAGTTAAGTTCCTTAATTAATTATTCAATTAATTAATTAATTAATTACGTATATCGCAAAATTTCGACACTTTCCTTTCGTTTCTCCTTTTTTTTTCTTTTTTGGTTTTGTAGGCGATTCGATGATCGCGCGGTGGACTACAGAGAACGAGGGTGAAGAACGCTTGAAACGGTAACGGAGGTGCATATCGCGACAGCTGTTGCAATTATCTCGAACGAGTTTGCTAACGCGTAACAGCTGCGAACTACTGGCTGGCAGTTTACCGCCGCATACGCAACGATCCTTTGGTACATTTCGATAGAAGCTTCTCTCTCTGCGAAAGCTTTGTTTAAGCGGAACGTTTTGGTTTGCAAGAGAGCCGGGTTCGGGCGGTCCGTCTGACTTTCGGTCCTTCTCCCGCTGAAACATCGCAGATCGGAATGGAAGCACTCACTGTGTTTCACTCACTGCGTTTTACTTTTTAAGCGCGAGAAAGAAAAACTGCGAATATTCTATAATTCTTTCGACTGGTATTGGATTGTTCGGAAATTTCGCGGCATTTTCTCGATAATTGATGAAATTAAACCTTTTAAGTGTCCAGTCCGTGCTATACTATTGTATTATAATTAATGACAAAATAATTATATAAGTATTATATAATTATTATATAATACTTATATTATATAATTAATGACAAAATAATTATATAAGCATTATATAATTATATAATTGTAATTATAATAGTATTATAATAAATAATATAATAATAAATATATTAATAAATATAATAATATTGTAATTAGTGACAAAATAATTATATAAGTATTATATAATTATATAATTATAATTGTAACAGTATTATAGCAAATAACATAATAATAAATATAATAATATTATAATTAGTGACAAAATAATTATATAATTATAATAGTATTGTAATAAACAATATAATAATAAACTATAATAAAAAATATAATAATATTATATAATTAATGACAAAATAATTGGTTTACTCATCAGATGAACAAATATATCAAAAAGTGTACGTTTCAAGGTGAATTTGTTTTGTTAAAATTAAACTTGTTTTGAATTAATGAACTTGTTCATTAAAATTAGACATTTATTTTAAGTAATTCAATTAAATAATCTCTTAATTATACAATTGTGCTTGCTTCAAGAGATGTGCAAGAGCACTCTCACTTTGAGAGGTAGAAATTTTTATTAAATAACAAAGCTACTTTTGTTTGTCGAAATGTGAATTCTGTGGAGAAATTTTTTTGACGCTTACCGTCCGAATCATCCGAACAGTCTAATACTCTATTCTCTTTGAATCGCGTCGATACATTCTGCGTAATTCGATTTTTCCCTTCGCCGCTTTTCGATATAAAATCCTTCGTTGCTGAATCGACGGATCGACGTGTTAAAAATTCAGAAAATTCCCGTTCGAGTCGAGATGTACTCGCTCGATCATACAAAGGGAAACGATTTCAAACGGTATTGTTGCTTTCAGCAAGCTTGTTTCTCGCAGCGTCACGCGAGACGAAGGCATTATAATTATAGTACGAAACAGACGCGTCAAACTGTTTCCGTCGGCGGCATGCTTGTCTCGCAATAGAGGCGCGGGAAGCAACGTTCCATTCGATCGATAATTAATTGCCAAGAGGCAAGCAAATTGACACATTCGAACAAATCTAGGCCACATACCACTGACTCGCAAATCTCAAATTTATTATTAAAGCGATGACGCAAACATTCCCCTCCCGTGACGTCCGAAGCCACTAGACTTTTTTTTTTTCTATTTCCTTCAGCCAGCGTTTTCGCTTCGGTGAAAGAAAGAAAAAAGAAAAAAAACTCTTGCCAATGTGCAAGATTCAAGTGCGTCGTACCAAGCGTCTCGTTAATAAAATAAAAAAAAAAGGAGAACTTTCTTTGCTAGAAACGAAAAAAATGTTCGTTGATAAAATTACCCGAAAGTTGAAATACCTCGAATTCGGAGAGGGGGGACCGCTCGATTATTACGAGAAACTCGACGATCGCGAGTGGAAGATTTCAAATATATATTCGCGGACTTCTGGCGAGTTTATTCGATTTATGGTGATAAAAATGTTGGCAAGCCCCCGATGACGGAGATGATTTCAATCTCGGGAAGAATCCCGGTTGCCAGGGACTGTGAATTTATCGCTGGTCTGAATTGGATTTCGGGAACGGTGGCAGCCTTCGCGACGACGATGTGAGGTAAACAGCTATTGGCAGCGAGCGGCCATTGGTAGCAGTAGCAGCAGCAGCAGCAGCAGCCAGTGATATTGGGCCGATATTGGTCAGACGGGTCGCCCGATTCCGCCGGCTTTTCGCCTCGATATCAAAGAGACCGATTATTACTTTCTCCCTTCCGTGTTTTCATTCACATTTTCTACTCCCTTTTCTTCACTTCCCCCCCTCCCCCCCTCTCCCCACCATTTGGCTCCTCTCCTCTCTTCGTCTCTCGTACGCACGCGTCACTGTTTCCTTTAAAAACGAACGCGAGCCTCTTCCTCTCCACTTTCCAAGCCGTAATATCTTTCTCTCTCTCTCTCTCTCTCTCTCTCTCTCTCTCTCTCTCTTTTCTTTTCTTTTCTTTTTTTTTTTTTAAATCGGACACACGACGCGCGAACTCGCGACAGAGGGAAAGAAAGAGAAGAGAAGAAGAAGAAGAAGAAGAAGAAGAAAAAAAAAGAAAATAGAAAAAAAAAAGAAAAGGGAAAGAGATAAGTGGAGGGGGAGACCGAGAAGAGTAAAACAGGACGAGAGAACCGGATTTCCTCACTTTTCGTTCGTTTGGATTCATCGCTTCTCTCGTCATGCCGATTGCAGCAGTGATTTCAAGTCGATTTCTACTATAGAGTACCCTTTTGACGAGGGGTGAGCAGTGAGCTGTGGTTGTGTGGTGCTGTATGGTGGTAGCGGTGCCGGTGGTGTTCGAGGTGCTCTGGATGATCAGGGTCATTGGGTACGAGGTAGTCAGGGGTGTAGTCGTCTTGACGGGTGTGGGGCGGGGGCCTCAGTGTACCTTGGACCGGGGGCAGAAGCCGCTTGTCGTAACGCGTCGACAGCAGCAGGTTGTCCAGGATCTCCTTGTCCGACTTGCCCTCCTCGAAGCTGCAACACAACGTATTGTAGCCAGCCCCGGCGAGAAAACCACCACCAGGGGGATTTTTCCTTTTCCTCGCTCATTCTTTTTGCTTTTTCTTTTTTTGTTTCTTTCTCTCCTTTATCCTTTCGTGTCGTCGGATCTCACCCCCGAATCTCTCTCTCTCTCTCTCTCTCTCTTTCTCTCTCTGCAGCCACCCCGAAGGTCGATCTTCGCGTTTACTCGCGTTTCACGCGACCTTCGAGGTGTCCAAAGATCGGTTTCCCTGAGAAATGCGTATTCGTATACGGCTACACACGTTAAAAGGGAAACTCACACGATCTACGGAAAATTATTCCATGATAGTTACGCAGCTCTCTAAAACGCACTATATGTGGATAAATGTGTATACATGTACAGGGTGTCCCGTACGAAGCTGACCACGCGAATTTTTTCGCCTGAGCTACAGAGAAAAATTCGTTTCAAACGAAACGTTACGTTGCTTCGAGGAGAACGTCGTATGATAGCCACGGATCTCTTGTCCTGGGTGGTCGTGCTTCCGAGATTTCAAAGTGATCTTCGCTTTTTTTCAAACAGAACTGTACATATTTTCGAATTTACAGTTTTCTCTTAAACTATTCGTCTGTAACTACAGAGGAAAATTCGTTTCAAACGAAACGTTACGTTGCTTCGAGACGAACGTCGTATGGTGGCCACGGATCTCTTGTCCTGGGTGGTCGTGCTTCCGAGATTTCAAAGTGATCTTTGCTTTTTTTCAAGCAGAACTGTACATATTTTCGAATTTACAGTTTTCTCTTAAACTATTCGTCTGTAACTACAGAGGAAAATTCGTTTCAAACGAAAAGTTACGTTGCTTCGAGACGAACGTCGTATGGTGGCCACGGATCTCTTGTCTTGTGCTTCCGAGACTTCAAAGTCTCTCCTTTTATCAAACAGAATTGTATACTTTTGAATTTACAATCAATCGAACTGAATTAATCTTGACGCCAACTACCGAGACTGTGAACTCAAAAATATATATACAGTTCTATATATAAAAAAAGAAAAAAACAAAGATCTTGGAGGGATGAACCAACTATGCAACTATTCGTGGACATCATAAGATATATGTACATACGTAAGTTTTATTCGAAACATTTTTTAGAAAGAATATTTCTCAGAGAAAATTGCGCGGTTAGCTTCGTTAGGAACAACCCCGCACATGTATATACGCGAAAAGAACAGCCTCTACCTTCGAGCGATCATCGAATTATTCTGTAAGTTCGCTATTCAACATCTGTTGCTTCGATCGTGACTACATCGCGACCACTAGGTATCCAAACTTGTCTACACGGGCTAAACGTGTAACAATGCAATCGAACGAATCGTCGGGACGCCGGTCAAGCGTGAGCGATTCGAGTCCCTGTTCAGTTTCACGATCCCAAGAGTGTGATCCTTAGTCGACGAGCACGTTACTAGTCGCTACGTTCACCGTGTCCGTGGCAATAAATTTTAAATCTCCTCTGGTCCATCGTCATTATCGTTTCGATCGCTATGATAAATTTCCAACGAGTCCACCGAGCGCAGCTTCGACCGGCGTCCCGGTTAATAAAGAGACAAGTTCGCGCAATATCGAAACGTAAAACAAGAGCCTTCGAAACATGATACGAGGCGACATCAACGACGATCCTCTATGTTCCATGCAAAACAATTGTATATCGTGTATCTCGTTTCGCGAGCGGGTTCCAATCTTTTCCCCCGGTATTACTCGATCATCGCATACGCTACGACACGTTGTCGTCGTCGTTTATAATGTCGCTCCCTCGATCCTATCACAAGCAACACAATGTCCTCTACTCTCTAGTATCTCTCTCTCTCTCTTAGCTTCTCGATCTCCCATCTCGGCCAAACTTTTCACATTTTTTTTGAAAACGCCACGCGATTTTCCATCGCTCTGCGAAGTTTGCAAAAGTTTGCGAGAGTTACGAGAGGAAAGTATGTTCGCCGAGTTCGATCGGGAAGTTAAGAGCAGATTCGAAACGGATCGAAGAAAGTGTATTTATATAATATAATCGTGTGATTCGTGATAATAATACGTACATGTCCTCGGCACGCACGAGAGTGACAAGAGTGAGGGCAAGTGTGAGGATACAGAGGATGGTGAAGATGAGGGAGCTTGCGAGGGAGGTGAGAGACAGCGAGAGGACGGACGAGAGGCGGCCGCCACCACCCGCACACCGCCCTAGCGCCACCCAACCCATTCTATGTCATCTGAAACAGAAAGCACGTTTTCCATTATTAGTATTCCATCTGTAGCCCCCGTCGTCGAAACGAAATGTCATCCGTGGGACGTGCAAACAAAAGCGACGCGCACCGAGCCTGGAATATTTCCACGGCATTGTCCCGCTATCGTTGCAGATAAACGCGATCCCACAGCTAGAAATATATAACGCTATAAATCATTTAGTGTATAATTCACTCAGCTGCCTTTCGAACGCATTCGCTATCTGGCCGATGGTAGCCAGGGGGGATGAAAAAACAGGCGAAAACGTTGAAACAAACGGGTTTGTTTGCTTACGGTACGGTGCACACTTTTTCAATTTTTTACGTTTATTAAGTTTTAAAGAATTACTAAGTATCACAGTATCGAGTGTTAAAAAAATTATTAAGTACTACAGTGTCAAGTATTGAAGAATTATTAAAGTATCAGGTATTAAAGAATTATTAAGTATTGAAGTATCAGGTATTAAAGAGTTATTAAGTATTGAAGTATCAAGTATTAAAGAATTATTAAGTACTACAGCATCAAGTATTGAAGAATTATTAAAGTATCAAGTATTAAAAAGTTATTAAGTACTGAAGTATCAACTGTTAAAAAATTATTAAGTACTACAGTATCAAGTATTAAAGAATTATTAAATATTAAAATGTCAAGTATTAAAGAATTATTAAGTATTGAAGTATCAAGTATTAAAAAATTATTAAGTATTACAGTATTAAAGAATTATTAAGTATTACAGTATCAAGTATTAAAGAATTATTAAGTATTAAAGTATCAAGTATTAAAGTATTAAGTATTAAAGTGTCAAATATTAAAGAATTATTAAGTATTAAAGTGTCAAGTATTAAAGAATTATTAAATATCAGAGTATTAAGTATTAAAGAATTATTTACAAGTAACACATTGGTACTTGTGTGGTCGTTGTATGGTATTCAATTTTCAACGTATCGCGAAAGAAATTTCAAATTCTAAATGTACAAATTTCACATTTAAATTACGAAATTACAACGTCCGTTCTGTGATAAAAATCTCACGACAAATACACGCGCAAAAGTACAAATACACGCATAATTTGAAAAATTATGCAAGCAAGAAACAAGTCCAGTTGAATCGTTCAGTGTTTTCCAGAAACATCGTGCCTATATGACGGTTAGAGAAACGAGCACCGACGAATTTTGATCAAAGACGATCGAACGCATACGATTGACCTTCGCCGCGTGGACGTGATCACTCGGTAGACATTTCTTTCTTTCCTCGTTGCTCGATGGAGGCCCGGTTAAAAATGTTCCTCCACGTATACCGCTTTGCCTCAGCGACGAGCGTATTAAAAGAGGGGTGAAAGGTTATCCCTCAAAGACCTGTGTGAGTATACACATTTGATCTACGACCTTTTGCGCGGCTCGTACGTATCCGACTCACGGATAGCGCAGTCTAGCGACCCGACCAGACGATCCCTTTTAACAGAAACCGACAAATGGGCCACACGAGTTCCAAAAGCTCGAATATCGCAGCTATATCGCAAGTTTGTTTCACCTTGCTTTTACGCTGCCTTTGTTCCACCTTTGTTCGACTGCGAGCACGAAATCAAGCGATTCGACGGAGACTAATATCTTGTTCCCCTTCTCCTCTTTCTTATGAACCCGCGAAACGTAACAGAGGTATCATACTTACGTACAGAATACGTATAATAATCGATCATTCTATTTTTCTTCTTTATTTGATTGTATTTTTCTTAACGTTGGAACAACCGATAATTAGATAATATTAAATTAAAATTAAAATAATAATTTAAAATCAAAACCGACGTGAAAATTTCCATTGGAGACATGGAAACAAAGGAAATGGAATAACTCTGTAATACAACGGAGTGCACTTTTATTTACGCAATTTTACGAAAAATTATTCAAATTCACTAAAAATACGCTGTTATTTTATATGTGTAAAATTTCTAACGAAAATCATGAACTAGTTATTTTTGGTTGTTCTGTTAAGAAGTTCAAATTACTTTAGTTTAATATACAACAAGTTTGAAGTTTAATAATAAGTTGTATAAGTTTAAAATTTAATAACAAGCTTAAAACGTATAAATTTAATCTTTTACAACATTGTCTCATTTATTGCATTTATATGTGTGCATAGAGTGAGAACAAGAATAGAGTTGGGTAAAATGCAACAATTTGATAATAGAAAAACAAATAAGAAATTACAAACGATTTACAAGAGAAACGAAGCGATATAATTCAAGACTACTAATTTCGAACTGCTATTCGTACATTGTTGGCTGGTCACTTCATATCACATGTGTCTATATTTTAAAAATTTTATTTTACACATTTCCCGCTTCACCGTTATATTTCATTAACCATTTTTACCATTTTGACTATATATTGTATTATTATATTACTATTACTTTATTTTATTGTTACATTTTGTCAACCACTTTACCACTTTAATCACACATTTTATACCATTGAAAAAAACAACGAATCGAAGTTACTAATTCCCCGAGTTTTAATTAAAATAAGACGACAATTCCAAAGATTTTCTCTCAATAATTGAAGCTCTGATTATAAACTGTTACGAAGTTGTGAAAATCGTACTGGCCACTATACATATAATCTGTTGCTTCAATTATATTTAAAAATACCAACACAAGCACGTTTATTCCATCGAAGCATTAAAAATCGTCTCTCTGTTTGCTGAAGGAACGAGATATCAAAAGTTGGAGTTAAAAGCTTGATACGAGTCCGTTTGTTTTAATCCCTTATTCTTTCTTATCTTCCTCGCCAGCGGCTCTAAAGAGCCGTTTTCAATCTTCTCGAGACACGAAGCGTTTTCGCTTTGAGATGTAAAATTTGCAAAGACGCTCGCAAATTGCCGTGGCGCGGAGCTGCAAGACGCATTAAAGCCTTTGCAAAGAGTAAGTCGACCGTAGGGGAAACGACGTCTGATTGTGGAGTTGTCGCGAGACGACATTTGTGTTCGTTTTCGCGTGACGTAGGTAGTTTTCTAGTAGGTTTGCTATGCAGGACCGTTCCCGAGTATCTTCGCGGAAGCGTCGAAAACCATTTTCACTCTCTCTCTCTCTCTCTCTGCTCGACCATGACGAAAGATTTCATTCCAATCTTTCGTTAAATATTTATCACGTGATTGGATCGATGAAAAAGTAATTCAGAGTATTTCTTTTTTTTTTTTTTTTTTTTTAACAGACGAACATGACGTAAACTTCATTTTAAATTCGTCGTGTAATCTGACATATGCTTGTTCAAGCTCTTCACGATTTTTCGTCAATTTCAAAATGAAAGAGGATCAGAAATATTTTCGTCGTATTTTGCTGTATTGCTTTTGAAATGGGGAGAAAATGTTCAAGTGCAAGTTTATAAAACATTATCTGATGTGTACGATGATAATGTCAGAATTGGTTTGCTATTATTTCACTGTATGATGAAAATATCAAATCAATTTTTTTTTTTTTTTTTTAAGCATAAGAATCTTCTTTTTGAAAGGATAAGAATTTTTTTTTTAAAAAGGATAAGAGCTTTCTCGAACACGAAATCATAAAGTTGGCTGGAAGATGGCAAATAGTAATCGAACGAATATATTTATATCAAGAAGCTTTTGTTTCTCATAAAAAGATTTGCTTTTCGTTTCTTTTTGGCCAATCATTTCCTCTGCAAATAATAGAATAGTGTAATGCTATATTTTGTAAATAGTGAATGTTCCTCTAATAATTTCTTAACCAAAAATATAAATTAACATGAATTGCATTACATTATGTTACGTTACATATTGTACTAATTAATACAAATTAACAATATTATATTAATTAATATAACAATTATTAACGATATTAAATTAATATAACAATATAACAATTATTAACAATATTAAATTAATATAACAATATAACAATTATTAACAATATTAAATTAATATAACAATTATTAACAATATTAAATTAATATAACAATTATTAACAATATTAAATTAATATAACAATATAACAATATTATAATTAATATATTAATTAATATAACAACATTATACTAATTAATATAAATTAACAACAGATTAGAGATTTAACTCTTACAATCGAGGACAATCACAATCGTGACAATTTGCAAAATTTAACTTTCTCATGCACATTTAATAAAAAAAAATGATCAAGGAGCAATGATTGATTGAAATACATATTTAGGCCATGTATTCTATTTACGTAAATATTTGCAGGCCATTTGTTATATTTGATATAATACAACTGGAACACTTACTGTACTAGTAAGTAATCTCGTAAAAAGGTTTTACAAGCGTCCGGTTAAATCAACCGCGATCTTTGCAGAGTTAAACGTACCGAATCGAGCGAACGCGGAATGATCAGCGATATCCTTCATTTACTCAAATCCCATTAGTACACGAGCACGGTAACAAGATTCGATCCACCAGAGGGGGTGAAAAACGGAAACTAACTCTTTTTCATTCTTTCAAATTGGCAATCGGTGTCTTCCAGCGCTGTGGCTTCTAATCCAATATAGCTTAAATCCGTGAGAGTCAACGTTTAGACGCGATGTTGGACGTTTCGTTTCGATCGAAGCTCACCTCGGCTCAAGCAATAACACAATGATTCACACACTTATTTTCCTTCAATTGATTTTCATCCAAATAATTGTGCCCTCCCCCCCCTTTTTTTTTAAAGCGAATTTCAATCCACTTCAGTTATTTTTTTTTTTTTTTATATATAGAGGTTTAAAGCCGCATCGACTACGAGGTGTTTAGCGACGTGCTGGAATTTTCTCTCTATATCTGGTCTAGTAGTTGGGTCTCTTTTAGGTAGTTGATAACGTTTTTTTTTTTTTTTTTTTTTTTTTTTTTTTTT